GGTAAACGCAGATATCCCGCCTCCAGCCTCGGCGGTCTCCGTGCGGGCCCAGGAATCTGCATTTTCTAACGTCCCGCGAACATCAGTGAATCCTTTTCGGAAACAAAGTTGAGTTAAAGCAGTGCTTCTCCAACGTTACTGTGGGTCGGTCACCCAGGGGTCCCGTTAAAGAGCAGACTGACTGAGCAGGGGGGTGGGGGTGCTGAGCGTCTCCGTTTCTAACACGCTCCCAGGAGGCGAGGACGTCAGAGCTACTGGCCGGCGGACCACACACTTGGAGTAACATGGGGTTAAAGTCCCACGACTTCTCAAACTAGGTCAGTGGACCCCCAAGGTACACAGGAGCTGTTTTAGCAGGTAATGGGTGGGGTGGAGTTTTACTTTAAACCAGTGATAGATTTGGGGGGTAGAAAGTGAAAGGTTTGGGAAGCACCGTTCCAGTCTCACTTTTTCACTTTAGCCATTTAGTTGCCCTTTACTGAGTGAGGCGCTTTATCCCACAATCTCGAGGGCTAGGTTCTGTCAGTCCCTCTTCTTAGCCACGTACAGAGAGAAGTGAAGGGAGGTTAAGTAACCCGCCCAACATACAGGGTCTGCTCACTAACCATAAAGCACTACCTGTTCAGTGACCACTTAGTATGTGAAAGAACACCCCCCACATACCCCAAGTCCTCTAGATGTGTGGGAGGGAGCCCCGCTCTCCACCTGACTGACCCAGCATTGCCCAATGTCTATATGGTGCAAGAAGCAAGGGGTGCTCTGGTCAAATGTTCGGGAAACCTGGGGCATCATTACTGAAGGTCTTTAGTACCTGACTGTGCATGGCAGCCTCCGAGACCACAGCCTGTGACATTTCCTAGCTAACCTGACACTGTACAGGCCCAGAGCTCGGCAGGACACCCTCTGGGCAGTGCTGGTAATCCCTAGATCTGTGCAGCACCCACCTCCTGACCACACAGGGGCTGGGCAGCTGACCCCCAACTTGTAGGTGTGAGGGGTAACTTGTCGTAGCTTCTCCACTGTATCGTGTCCGTTTAGCTCTGCATCCCAGGGCGTGGCACAGAGGTGGCGCCAGCACACGTTCGGGGGATGAAATGTTAGTGGAAGAGCTGGGGGAGAAACTCTCTTGGGATCTCGGCCCAGTGCTCCCTGTGCCACCACCTACAGCTGAGGTCCCAGTGTTTACTCCCAGCGCCGGACAAGGTCCGGCCCACAGCCAGCGCTCAGCACACAGAGCAGTTGATGGACAACTGACTGAATGGACATCCCATCCTGACGCCTCGCCTATGCTCCCCACTGCCTCCTCCCTGGCCTCACTCAACACATGGTGCCATCTGACACACAATAATTTTGTTTATTATGTTTTCTCCACCAGAATGAAAGCTCCTTGAAGGCAGGGACTTTTGTCTGTATTCACTGGTACCTAGAATTGTGCCTCTACATAGCAGGGGTTTAATAAAAATATTTTTGCTATAGATTGAATTGGCATGAGTTAATCAGATCTTTAGGGCTTCTGCAGAGTCCGGTACAGGAAAGGGGGAGCTAGAGAGACCCTGCCCCCTCCCCATTTTAACCTTAAGTGTTTACAAGTGGGGCAGGCTGGATTCAGTCTGCTGGGTGACAAGGTCAGCTGGGGGCAGAGGGACCCAGAGCAGCCTTTGGGAAGGTGTGGGGGGAGCTGGACTCCTGCCTTCCAGCCTCCTGGCCTGGGTTGAACCTACGACCTTGAGACAGAACGCAGACATTTTGGGGAGTCATCCTCCAGTCACCAGCTCCCTGAGGAACCAGAAATTACTGTCCTTGGGTTGAAGGCACTTGGAGAGGAGGGGGAAGGAGGAGGGGGGAGTTACCGTCTTCCCATCCCCAGGCTCTGCCAGGTCCCGGCCTCCTTCTGGGCCGCTGGCCCACAAAGACCTGCCCCTGAGCCCTCAAAGGCTCAAGCCCAGTCTCGGGTGAAGTCCCTGTTTTGGAACCAGAGCTGGAGTGCTGGGTCCAGGCCTGTGACCAAGGGCCCAAGAGGCGGCGTGTGTGACACGGTGTTCGGCCACAGAAGGCCTCGGCTGTCCTGAGCTCAGATCTTGGCTGCTGGCCGCTGGGGCGGCTGTTTCTGCAGCTGGGCCAGCGTGTCCCGCTTCTCAATGGAGCGCAGCTGCTTCTTCTTCGCCCGCTTGAGCTTGGCGGGGTTTCGGATCTGGGGGTGGGGGTCGGGAGGGTGTTACTGTGGCCTGTTCTCCACCCTGTTCCCCTGGGAAGGGGAGGCTGCTCTTGGGGGCCTGGGGCGGCAGCATGAGTGGGGGCTGTGTAGCAGGGATGCCGAGGCATCTGGAACACAACGCCCGACCTGGCCATGGTCCCCTGACCCCGACTAGGGCAACACTCACCACTTGGACAATCTCCGCCTTCCGCTCATTCTCCAGGCGGCGTCTCAGGTTCTCCGCGCGGCGCTGCTTCTTCTCCTGCACACGTTGGGGAAAGGATGTGGGTCTGGGAGCCAAAGCAGCCCTGGCCTCCCAGGAAGGAGGGGAATAGGCCAACTCATTCTGGCTCCAGACTGGTGCTGTGGGGGTGGAGGGCCAGCAAGGAACAGTCCCTGTGCTTGTGGGACCAGCACCCAGAGACCCACCGTGGTAGAGAGCTCCTGACCCGACGTGGTCAGGCAGCTGAGGACAGGGGCTTAGTGGGGAAGGGGAGGAGTGGGGTAAGAAAGGAAAGTCAGGCCCATGCGGACAGTGGTCCCTCGCACCACCCACTCATCAACTGCCAGGGAGAAGGGGTGGCCGGCCCCTTCCTGCATTCCCGTCTCTTGGAGTCTCCCCCTCCCCCTCGAAGCCCATGTGCCCCTAGACTGCCAGGGCAGGGATGAGGGTGGAGGCTGCAGAGAAGGGGCTCCGGAGCTCCGTGGCCCTGGTCTGAATCCTGACTCCGCCTCTTCCTGAATGGGTGACCCTGGCCAAGCTGTTTATACTGTGCCTCAACACCCCATCTTAACAGTGAAGATGACTGTGATATCAGGCTGTGTGGAGGGAGAGGGGAGTGAACACCCATACGGGGCTTGGACCGTCCGGCCCACTGGGAACACGTAGAAGGTGAATCTGGACAGACTCTTCCCCGCGAGTGGGAAGCCCAGTGCCCTCTGGCTCCACTGAATGCTGTCCTGGTGGGACCAGGGCGGGGATGTTGGCCTCAGATCTGTTGCAGGGTCAGGGGCCTCTCTCAGCTTTGGCAACTCAGGGTGCAAAGGGTGGCCTGGGCCCGTGAGGAGAAAGGAGAAGTGACGCTTGAGCTCCCAGAGTGAGGGGAAGGGCTGGGCTGGGGGCTGGGCAGCGGCACCTCTGGAGGGGATGGTGACAAGGAGCTTCTGCCTTGCCCAAGAGGGAGCCAGGGCCGCACAGGAAGCGAGATAAGGACTCAGCACACGGTGGCAGCCACACGGTCTGCAGGGTCGTGGCCACAGGCTGAGCTGGGGCGACTCAAAGCAGGGGATAGGAGACCGAGTGACTGGCCCACCCCCTCCCCTTGTGGGCATACTAGGACCACAGGCTGTGGGGTGAGGTGCGTGACGACTCCCGAGCCCCAGGGACCGAGGTAAGCGGTGTCCTACTGATAACCCCGGCCCTGGTGGACCGACACCACCGCCTCACTTTATCTGCGTGTGGCCGCTGGGGCTTCCGGACACTAAAGCGGTTGGGTGTGAACCGTGAGCCACTTCTGGCCCTGGGATGAGCGTCAGGGAGAGAACTGGGGTAAGTGCAGGCCAGCCACTTTGCTGATGTGTGGCAGCTGCGTCCCGGGAATGACAGCAACAACACCTGGGACAACTCTGACCCGTAAAGCCTTTCCCATCTGAGCAGGTCCCATGGCGGGGACCCCTGGGCCCATCTCACTGAATGCCCCTATCACCAGTGAGGGAAACTGGGGGCTTATCCTGGGCCTCCTCCCCTGCTTGGGCCTCTTATAAGCCCGGAGCTAAACAAGATGTTCCACTGGGCTTCCCTCCCCTGTGGTCCTAGACTGCGCTGCTGCTTGGGCCAGGCTCCCTGCCTCGCTGGTGCCCCCAGGCTCAAGAATGGCTCTCGACCAAATCAGCCTGCCCCAGGGAACATGTGGGAGCTTCCCCAGCCCAGGCCGGTTATAGCAGACGCCGGTGCAGCCCTGCCTGGCTGGCCCCTCACCTGCCGGCGCCTCTCCTTCTCCTCCTCCAGGTGCCGGGCGAAGTCCTTGGCCAGCTTCCTCTCCTGCCGGTCTTTCATCTTCCGCTGCCAGGATGTGCGCAGGGGCTTGTCCTGGACCATCTGGGAGAACCTGGATGGGGAAAGTGCGTGCTCCTGGAGTCCGTGGGAAGAGCCTGTGCCCTCCCTCCTCTCAGCTCCGGGCCTTCTCCCCCAGAACCCAGTCAGAATCGCCTCCCCACCTTGCTGCTTACCACGCAGTCGACCCTCCGGGTCTGCAGAAACTCGGGGCAGGACAGGGCCCTGATCATGCCTGCTGCCATTACTTGAGCCCTGGTGACATGCCTCAGGTGGGTACACCTGCTCTCTCCATTTTACAGAGGAGCAAACCGAGGCTCAGAGAGGTTACGTGATTGCCCAAGGTCACCTTGTTCCTGAGCGGCAGTCAGTACTCGAACCCGTCTGTGACCAGAGTCCAGACCACACAGGTCCGTCGTCAAGCTCTGCTGCTCGGGGCAATGGCAGCCAGCCTGGGCGTGAGGGCCTCTGGAGATGCGGCTCACTCCCTCCCGGGGTGCTCCCTCTGGTTCAGAACGGCGTGAATGGTCACAGCCCCTGCTCCCTCCCCAGCAGGGGCTGTGTGATGATGGAGCAGGTGTTAGGGGGTATCAGGGAAGTCTTGATTTTCTAAAGCGTGATAGTGACACAGTCCTAGGAGAGACCAGACTACCTCCTTAAGAATCCATGCTGCCAGGATCTATGGGTGGAATGACAGATCCAGGACGTGCTGCAAAATATTCCAGGAAGAAGGAAAAAGTGTCGAGGAGCAAGAGGCAGCAGACCCGTAAAATGAGGAGGGCCACTGAGATGGGTGCTGACAGCTCGGGGGTTCGTGCTCCCCTTTCCTGTAAGCTCTTTCTCCTCCAATGACTGGAAGCCAGTTCAAGTGTCCCACAGGCCTTTATTCCTCCTCAGCAGATCTCCTTGTGGCCCTCCCGCCTCCCCACCAATTCCCAGACTTCTGAAAGCGCTCCTGTTTATCCACATCCCCTGTATGCTGCCCCAGAGTGTCACAGCAGGCCAGCCCCTCAGGCCTTTGGTGCGCCGCTGCTCCCGCCCCTGGGGTGGCTCAGTCCTGCTCCTCCCTGCCATCTTCCATCTTCCCCCTAATGCTCCATGGGAGTCTGCACACACGGTCTGGACCTTGACCCTGGGTCCGTCCACCCTCAGCCTGGTTCTGCCTCTCTCCACCCGCCAGTCCCCGACTCTGCCTGCCTGAACCCAGCACAAACCCCCTGCTCCTTCTCCCCCTCCCCAAGGGCCTCCTGAGCACAGAAGGGTGGGGCTGCAGCACAGACATTCTCCTCGCCCTTAGAGCTGGGCATCCCAGATTGGGGTGCCAAACCCTGGAAGACCTCACGTGCCTCCTACTGCGCCCCCTGTGCTCGATGATGAGGTCCCTGGACTGTCCCTCAAACCAGGAGCACACTTCCGCCTCAGGACCTCTGGTCTTTCTGTTCCTCTTGCATGGACGCTCTTCCCTGACAGCCTCTCTGCCTCCCTCGCTTCATTCAGGCCTCTGCTCACAACCCTTTGGCAGGGAGGCCCTCTCTGATCACTGCACCCCTGCTCCTTTCCCGTCCCCACTGGGGTTTATTTTCCTATATTGCTCTTATTACTGACACATATATATTACATGTTGGTTACCTGTTTCTCACAACTGGAATGTTCTGTTTACAGCCACGTTTGCCCCCAGACCCTAGCTCAACACAATATAAATTGGTTGAATGAATGAACTACCTTCTGTTCTCATTCATCTACTTGTTCAACTCATGCCTTTATGTGCTAGGCTCTGGGGGAGTCTAGCCATGACAGGTAAATCCCCACTTTCTGGTCTAGAGGGGAAGACGACAAGAATCACAGAAGTGAACAATCTGTGCAAATGGGGGTGTGACAAAAGAGAAGCACAAGGTACAATGACAACACATAGCATGAGGACTGAACCCTGGTTGGGCTGGACAAAGGGGGCTTTTCCAGGGGGTGGTATTCAAGCTGAGCCCTGAATGATGAGTGGGGACTGACCAGGGGAAGAGACTTTCAATAGGAGGAACAGCATGTGCAAAGGCCCTGAGCTCAGAGGGAGCATCCCATGTAGGAGGAACGTGGAGAGGAGGTCAGCATGGAAGACTTTCAGTGATGACGGAGGAGGGAAGAGGAGAGAGGAGTGGAGCACAGCTCCAAGCAAACAGAAAGTCCAGAAGGGTTTCAGTTCAGGCAAGGAGGTGGGACAAAATGCCCTCTTTCTCTTGCTTTTCGATATCTCCTGCCAACCTTCTCTCCCTCTTGCTCAGCGAACTCATTTCCCTCGCCCCCACCTCCTGCAGGCCCAGTACCAGGAGCCCAGGCTCCCACACTCAACTTGCTCATCACCCTCTTCCCACCCGAACGCCAACACCCTCATCTTGTTCCCCATGGCCATCAGTGGTCCCACTGTTCCCTGTGACCTCCAGGACCAAGGTGGAGGGGCAGTGCCGCCATTCACCGCTCCGACTCCTACAGTCACTTCAGCTTCTAAGTCTCTGACTGGTGACTTGAAGCAAACTACTCCTTAAGTTTCAATCATTTTTGTTTAATGGGGGAGAGTGTTGGGGGGAGGGAATAATACCTACTGCCTTGAGCTCAACAATATGACACCTGCAAAAAGCCTCGTGTAAAGCTTGACATACAGTCAACCCTCAGTAAATGTCCATTTCATCCTTAAAGTCCTTCCCCGATGGTCCCTCACAGCCACAAACTCCTGACTTCCCAGTGGTTCCCAGTAGCTAAAATGTGAACTGGAGCCCACCTCTTCATCTGGCAGCCTAAACCTTCCTACCGCAGCTAAGCCTCTTCCTTTGCTCAACAAGCATCTAATCGAGCACAGAAAAGACCTCACGCTTAGTTCTCATCTACAGAGCACAGGTAAAGGGCTGTCACGCCCAGACTTTGGAATCAGATCTGTGCTCAGGTCCTGCCTCTACCGCTTTCAGCCTCCCCGAGCCTTGGTGACCCCTTATGTGAAATGAGGATAATCCTAACACTTGCTGCTTCATAGGGCTGATGAGTGGATTAACTGCCACAATGCATGCTGGTCCCTGTTTGAAAGGTCCTTCCTCTGGCCAATCCTTACTAACAGCATCCTATACACTCAGCACTTGGTAATGCTTTTTATCAAACAGGCAAATTACTGCAATAGAAAATAGTGGATGAAGACTTCACTGCTATTTATCAAGTAGTAGCTGGTTTACCTGCTTCTACCCCCACCCCCCCTCACTACAGAGGGCAGACAAGGGTAAATACGTGTTGGATGAACACACAGATTAAATGCTATGGGAGAAGTCCTTTGAGGGCACCCCTCCCAGAGATCCCAGTGCATTTTACTACATTCTGATTATAATTACCTGTTTGTGTGACGCCCCCACTGATATGAGCTATCTCCAGGTTGTGCCCAGGCCCCAACACCACAGAGAACCCTACCCCTGCCCAGCTGTCCCCCACTTCACCTCTTCTTTGAGCGGTCCTTCCACACCCGCCCAGACTTGGGCTTCCCCTTCGGAATTATGGGGACCTCCTCCTTCTTCGGCTTCTTGGACGCTGGGGCCTGGACTGAGGAACCTTCTCGCTTCTTTGGTCCGAGGCCGTCTCTCCCCGACTCCCGGGCCGGAGGTGGCTTGCTCGCCTCGGGCTGACCCCGTGGGGAGCCAGGCGACTCGGGTGTTAGTTCCTGTCGTGGCTGCGAGGGCTCCGGACCCGGCGCTTGTTGACCTGGATTCGGCTCTGGTGATCCTGGGCCTGGCTGCTGCTGAGGGCCGGGAGACCCGGAGGGCGGCTCCTCCTCGCTCTTGGCCAACTCCGAGTCCGCTTTTTCTTGGTCCTGGGAGAACTCTGGTGACTCCTCACTTAGCTTTGGCTGAAGTCGGGGGGATTCAGGACTCGATTCCGGCAGTTTCTGGGGCGACTGGAGGACTGGATCTCCCTGACTCTGGGGGGACACTGGGTCCGGCTCTGGCTGCCTTCGGGGGGACCCCAAGCCTGCCCCCTCTCGTGGGCTGGGTGACCCCGGGCTTGTCTCCGGCTGATGTCTAGGAGACCGCAGACTGGGGGGCTGCACACTCCGAGGAGACCCGGGCTCCCTCGTTTCTTCTGGGTTCGACTCGAACTCCACAAGGGCCCGTCTCGCCCGCAAACCTGCAGTGGGGTTCTCGGGTGATTCAGGCTCTAGGCCTTCTAGCCGCCGGCTGCGCCTCAGCGGGGTATCCATGGCGGGGCCTGAGTTTCCAAATCTGAGCCCACGTGCAGCCTCTAAGACAACCGGCGCCGTCCTATGACGTCAGGAGCCGTCACGTTTGTGCTGGGCAGGAGGGGCTGTTGCCGCGGAGGCCATCTTAGTGATGGGCAGAGAGGCATGGGGAGGACTCTAGGGAGGGCGGGGCCTGGGTTTATTAGGCGCATGCGCAAAAAGCTTTGCCGCATTTACTTGTGCCTAACTTAAGATCCTGCTTTGCCTTTCCTGAGAACCCAGTTTCCTGGGGAAAAGAGAGTGTGCAGACGAAAAAGGAAGGGGGGGGAGGGGAACGCATTTTCGGGGGAACAGAGGATTGGAGAGCAGAGATCCAGGGAACCCCTAGGCAAGGCTGGATGGGAACTTTGCCTCTAACTCACTGCTGTGCGATTGGGCAAGGGTTATACCCTTTATGGACCTCAATTTTCTTATTTGTAATATGGGTGTTTTTGCACTAGTTTACTGTATATAAAATGACCCAGTCGGAGTACTCCTAACTGCCAGAGTGAATGGTACCTGGAAGATCCTGGAGGTGGGAAGTCTCAGGTCCTGAGTTGTGTGTTAAATGTAATCCTTGCTTTCTCTTCCATTTTGTGCTCAAGTATAAAAATCTACGGCTCTCCCTTTATAACATTGTCAGCTTTAATATGATGCTGAGGTAAGGGTTAGATGCACCACCTCTGTCCTCTGGCACACTGGGCCCTCAGCCATTCCCCGTACCCTCTCAGTTCTAGAAACAGAGGTTGGATCCTCTCTGAGCTTTCTTTCAGCCAAGGCAGTGGTCATTGTCCCAGCGTGTGAACCTGCCTCCCTCTTCCTTTGCATAGATCCAGTCGGTGGCTTTGAGTTACTCACAGCATGTGACTTTCTTAGGAAGAACATCTTGGAAGATCTTTTCCAGTGTCTTCTCATAACCTCCTGGGGATGGCTCACAGGCATCCCAGGGTCCCTGTTCTGTTGTCCCAGAAGATTTTTTTAGAAACCACTGTTTCTTCAGCTGAGGGGTTATGAGTAGCGCCTGGGAAGTTGTCCAATGGTGCTCAGGGGGCCGAGGAAGAAGGTCAGGCAGACATCCAGGGGTCTCAGTGCTGAGCACAGCCCCCACGTACTGAATCACTCTGGAGCAGAAGTGAGAGAGTCAGATGGGGCCCAGGGTATCTTGACAGCTGATCAGGGAGGAGGTGAGGAGGTGGAAAACCCAGGCAAGTTCCCTGGAGGATGGAAAAGCGGACTGAAGATCCCTTAAGACCTCTCACCCCTTGGCTGGTGCTACACAGCATCCAAAATGCATCCTGATGAGTTGAGCCTGTTAAAGTCACCTCTCTAAGGGTAAGGTGATGGCCTGGCTTCTCCACTATCCTTCCATGTTGTCAGAAACAGTGGCACGCTTGTGCTGTAAACCTGTGTCAGTCCCTGCCTTCCTGGTGGCTCTCAGAGGCTCCATTCACAGGCTCAGCGCCCTCAGGCCCCTTGCTCCTGGACCAAGTAAGTCCTTGCAATGAGGCTTGGTCTCAGTGCCCCTGCCCAGCAGTGCAGCTCCCCACTGCATCTCCTCGCCCAGCTCTTCCAACCCCCAACTCTCAGTTCCTTAAATTCTCTGTCCCAGCCAGGAAGCCCAAATGGCCTGCCACACAGAGCCATACCTGGCGTGCATTACCAGGGCTGTGTCCCCAGCTGGAGGGATCACTCTCAAATGCTGATTGGATCCTATGCCGATTCCACTTAACATACTTCAGAGGGTGATCTCAGGTCCCCTCCAGGTGGTGTGAGAGCGGGAGGTGCTTTACAGACATTTTCAGATCAGGTGACGAGACCCCTGATCAACATAGGCATCAAGTGATCTCTGGCCTGGAAACCCTCCGCTTCCACCCAGGCTGTTTGTCACTGTGATTATAAATAGTGTATAGGGGCCCAGGGGAGACACCTGAATTTTTCAGAAAAGCTTGATATTACAGTCACTGTTAGGACTCTGTTGCCTTAGGCTCCTTGGCTTTCTACTGTAAATATCCCAGCCTCACGATTCAGTTATGCATATATATTTTCTTTTTCGTGTTCTTTTTCATTATGGGTTATTACCAGTTATTGAATATAGTTCCCTGTACTATATGGTAGGTCCTTGTTATTTGTCTATTTTTATATATAGTAGTTTGTATTTGCTAATCCCAAACTCCCAATTTTTCCTGCCCCTCTTTCTCCTTTGGTAACCATAAGTTTGCTTTTGATGTCTGAGTCTCTTTCTGTTTTATAAATAAATTTCTTTGTGTCATTTTTTTTAGATTCCACGTATAAGTGATATCATATGATAGTTGTCTGTCTTTGTCTGACTTACTTCCCTTAGTACGATGATCTCCAGGTCCACCCAGGTTGCTGCAGATGGTGTTATTTCATTCTTTTTTATGGCTGAGTAGTATTCCACTGTACACACACACACACACACACACATATATATATATATACCACAACTTCTTTATCCAGTCATCTGTTGATGGGCATTTAGGTTATTTTCATGTCTTGGCTATTGTAAATAGTGCTGCTATGAACATTGGGGTGCATGTATCTTTATGAATTAGAGTTTTCTCTGGATATATGGCCAGGAGTGGGATTGCTGGATTTATTTTCTGAATAGGCTACTTGCACTTGAATCCTTGTCTCAGAGTTGGCTGTGGAGGAACCCAGCCAAAAACACTGGGACAAGTCATTACTGGGCCAGATATTCTTTTAAGTGCTCTCTGTGTACAAATCCTCACAACCACACTGTGAGACAGGTGCTGTTATAACAATACCCATTTCACAGATAAAGAAACTGAGGCACAGAGAGGCTAGGACACTTGTAAAGGTCACACAGCAGATACATGGTGGACGTGGGATCCACCTGTAGGCTTCTGACTGCAGAGCCACAACTTTGAAGAGTAAATCTCCCTGTCATCCAGGTAAGGAAACCAAGGCACAGAAAGGCTAAGGTGTTTGCCTAAAATCACACAGCTATACATCCAGGAGCAAGGACAGCAGTTCCAGAGCTGGCAAGTTTAGTTGCCCAGCAACGGTGCCTCCTGTGGGCCTCCTTTGCCTGTTCCTCACAAGGATCCTGCTTTGTGCCCTGGGAGGTGCTGGGTGCCAGGTTGCCCCACGATTGGCTAAGGCCCCATGTGTGCGTGCGCGGGGCAGAGTGTGCTGAATTGGCAATACCTCGATTTATGTAACCTGAGATCTGCTGATTGAAGGAAACTGTGTGCTTACAGGTGATAGAAGATACGGATCAGGTGTTCTTCGCTGAGCCATTGAGCCTCCACCCAGCCACAGCTGCTGGGTTGAGAGGGTTTGACATGTCAGGTTTGAGATGTCAGGGCCTGTATCCCTATGGTCCTCTGCTCAGCATCAAGATCAGAGATGGCTGGGAAACAGGCCCTGGCAATACCAGCGTCACTCACTGTGCACTTGTGAAGTGCCAGGCCTCCCCTGGGTGCTCATTGAGTCCCCTGGGGCGTCGGTGCAGGAGGGTGATCACAGCAAGTGCTGGGAGTTCACTGAATGAATGAATGGGCAGGGAAGAACAGCCTTGGGTTACCCACAAGGAAATCCAAGGCTGGGAGAGGCTGGGATTTGGTACAGGGTGACCCCAGGAGAGGGTGCAAGGGCAGGACTGGATCTCGGGGCTTCACGACTCTAAACCCAAGCCCTCACTCTCACATCCACCTGCCCCAGGGTCAGAAGACTGGGGCTGAGAATATGTAAGGATTTCCTCAGTCTAGGAGGTTGGATCCGGCCACTGGGACATCGCTGAGTGTGGCTGGAGTGAGGGCAGGACCCTGATGAGGCCGAGGCGTTTCTGGGAGTTGGGCTGCCATTGCCTGCCCTTCACTGGGTCACACGGGTCCAGGCTGCTCTCTCTTCTACTCAGAAGTCTCAAGCACTTGAAGACAGTCTTCCTGAAGCTTCCCCAGAATTGTCTTTTATCCAGGCTGAACATCTGCTCCTACAGCTGTGTCTCCCACGACGACACAATCAATCTTCCAGGATGTGGCATCTGGAGCTCCCTGAGGTCCCCCGGAGCCGAGTGGATTTGTCACCTCCGTCCTCTGTGATGCTTATTGGTGTGGCCAGGTGCCCATCCTCTTCCCAGCGGTGAGCCGCCAATTGATATCCTCCATCTGCTTCCAGCTGCCGATCCCTGGATGCTGGACGTGAGCTGTTGGCTTTTCTGGGCAAGTGCAGGATTTGTCATTTGGCCTTGTTGCCCTTTGTTCTGACCTTTCTGAAGACCTTGCTGTCCTCCTTCAATATTTGCTCCCCCAGCCTCCTTTGTGTGAACAGCTGCTCTGGGCATCTTGAATCAGGCCCACCGAGAACCTGCAGCAAGGCTGGGGTTACCATATCACTTCTTATCATGGGCTCTTATCTTGGAGGTTTATCTTTTCTGTATGTTCCCAACAGCTCACAAGGAATTTTGGATCCTCAAGAGGAGGGGGCAAGACCTCAGCAGAGGAGCACCTGGGACCCCTGATGTGAAGCCATCCAGTTGTCCATGCAGGGCATTGCCAGGGTGCAAGGAAGTTGATTGGATTGTAAAGGGGCCTCTTTGCAAAGCTCTCAGTTACCTGCAAGGCTTATCTCCTGATCCCTCACGGCATCTGCAGGTTTTGCTGACACAGGAAGGGGTAGACAAGCTACTGCATTGCAAGACCTCTCCCTGCCCCCCTACCCCCTGCCAGCTTCCACAGTGTTTCCCTGCCCTGTGCAGGCAGGCAGTCAGTGGGGGTGGGTTGAGGAATGAACACCTGTGCCCCAGGTGGGAGGAAGATACCCCAAGAAACAGGACATGGCTGTTCATGCCCCATCTTACCCTCACCCCGAAGTGTCTAATTGCAATGTTTCCCAAACTTGGGTGAGCATCAGAATCACGTGGAAGACATGTTAAAATGCAGATTTCTGGGCTCCAACCCCAGACATGATGAGTCAGTAGGTCCAGGACAGGCCTGAAGGTCTGTCTGCATTTCTACACGCTCCCAGGTGATGCCTCTGCCAGTGGGTGGACCGCACTTGGAAGAGCCGTGTCCTGCAGGAGGAG